CTCGTACCTGTTCGGGTTTGCGCTTCGTGTATACTCGTACTGGCCCACCGGCTGTCCGACAGCTGTCTGCGCGAATGTTGTCGACAGGGATATGGCCTCAATGACAGCACCCGTCACAGGATCGTGCGGAGAACCAGCATGTACCGCAAGAGTTCCGAATCTATGCACTGGAGATGGCGCTCGCGGTGGTGTGTCAATGGGATGGTGGGCGTGCGTCATTTTGAGCGAGTGAACTGTCTTCGAGCTGTGTGTCCAACTAAGTCCAGAAGTTCGTGTATTCACTTAGAGTAAAGGATGGTTAGAAGATGTCCGAAGTGCTGGCTCAACCAGATGCGGTTTGGAGTCGACAATGTCTAGAATGGCAAAGTGAGGTAAGTGACGGTTGACTACTGCTGTATATCTATCCAAAGCTGTTTCTAGGGTGTTCCTGATATTTATTGAGTAATTTACGCCATCGACATTGTTACTGTCAGCATTTGGGATGGAAGTCACCATTCTAGCGATGGATAATGACAGAGGCACGGACCACGTGTATTTTGAACCGTGGTTTTGCCGAGAATTTGGCAAGATCGGAAAGCGATAACAAACAGCTTGTTGTTCAACAGCAACTACGATTTCCAGAGTCGTAGTCGTACGCGTCAACGGCAGTCAAGTTGGAGGAGTTATTCCTTGTGTGTATAAAATTTATATGGTCATCGCTATGATAGACTATCTTATACAAAAGCTGCGACCTGGTATCCTTTCATTCCATGTCCGCTACGACGTTATCAAGGTAAACGATAGCTACTGAGCGTGTCAGAACCTTCTTTTGAGAAGCAAAAACCTCTTCTAACTCACTTTACTTGTGGTCACCAGTGTTGTGGATGGAATCGGGAAGAGCACGCTCAAGCTTCTCCGGGACAACCTTCTGGATGCCCTTGGGGACAATGCTGTCGGTGGAGCCGTCGGCGTTGGTCTTGGCGTGGGTCTGGCCGCTGCCGGTGCCTGAGGAACTAGTGTCGTGGACCTGTGGTTAGGGTCAGCAAAGCAACGTGAAGGGCAGAGGCACGCGATGATGTTCAGGTGGTTCATCGACGTGAGGGAGGCCGGAGCATAGCAAGAGCTGGACGGAGTTGACTTCCACCGAGACGGAAGTCTAGGCGACGAGTGCAACCCAGCTATGTCCATGGGAGTTGCATACCGAGTTGGGGAGGGACTCCTCGAGACCCTTGGGTGCCTTCTCCTGAACCTTATCAGGGACCTTGGAGCCACCGGTTGCGTGAGACTGATCCATTTTGATGGGTGTGGTGTTGCGGTGTAGAGTTAGGTGTTTGGTGAGGTATTCGATGTGAATGTGAATAATGAAGTCTGCCTGGAACTGAAGCTCGTGTTATATATGCGGCAGAGGGGCGTCTCGACATGTGCCCAGAGTCGTGACGTCGTGAATGGTGTGGATGAGGCGCAGTTCACTCCGAGTGTACTCTGCGACTGGATGATGAAAGAGCCGTGAGCCGTTCATGCAATTCGCTGCGGCTGTTGCGAACGCCGACTCCTTTGGCTTAGCTGTCCTCTATCAAAGGCGGACCATCGTCACAGCAGGAGTAATCATGACGCAATATTTCTCTGATCAAAGGTGTTTACGACCGCATTCGGTGCAGTCTTGCGAACGCTAGAGTGAGAGTCCAGTGTTCACCCGGCGTCTCCAAAGCGATGCCACTATAGCCCCGAGCATACAGGTACTTGGAGCGACGGCGACTTACGCAAGATGCATTTGTGCACGACTGTGATGACCAGGCGCGAAGTGGGATGAGTGGGATATTCGATACGCTAGCCCGCATCAAGAGGCTTCGACGTCAGTTTGCAGGCAAAAAGTAAGCGGACTTTCCTCAAGACACGTCTCGTGAAGACGAAATCTGGGTGAGATCCAAAGATCTAGATTGTCGACGGTAACATAGCACTCCGAGGTCCGATGCATGATTGATGTCAACACGTTGCACATTCAGAAGTCCGTAGAGAGGAGCGACAAAGTCAAGAGCATGACAGAAATATCGCAATGTACTGGACTATCGACTACAGATGACAAGTGATAAACAAAGTACATCAGAGGTACTTCGGAGGTCAGACTCTATGGGGTTGTCGGTAGTTAAAGTGAGGTATCTCAAAGTACCCATGTTCCATCATCTACGATTCGTAGTCGCTATGCAATCATCGACTCTAGGTCGGGAGCAGGAGCGCCTGTAGAAGCAGAAGAGAATGCGTAGAGGACCAATAGCCGACCATGGAGTAATGTACCCGAGTCGGCAAAGCATTATACAAAAAGAGCATAACAAGGAGATGAGGACGAACACGTCTGTCGCAAAGCAAAATTGCTCAGGCTACTACAACATGTCTCAAGTACACCAGTTTGTACAGCATAGCTAGGTTCATAGTACATAACTTCGGGATGTACATAGACATATAATCGTTTAGTTTCCATGCCGTTGCCGACCCAAAGCGTTCCAACAGTCCTTCAAACTCTCCTGGAAGTCCCTCACTTTGGAGCCATTCGAGCAGAAAGGTTTTTACGCTTCCTGTGCTGTAGTAGCATATTCTCGTCTTCTATCCTCAGGTTTGACATCTCATCTGTAAGCTGAGTTGCGTTGCTGGGAATGTACAGTCCCTCTAGTCATTTCCCGCGTCGGCCTGTTCGACGCAGGGCCGGCGCTCGGGCGTCCACCAAAAGGGATATAATTATAAAAATCTCGATTTCTATCCCCATAGAAGCATCAGTGGTTTAGTGGTAAAATCCGTCGTTGCCAATCCATCAATTGGTTCAGCTCGACGGGCCCCGTGTTCGATTCACGGCTGATGCAATCCTCTTTGGCGTTTTGTTTGTCCGGCGGATTCGATCCAGTCTGAGCCATTGGCGATTGATGAGTTCTTTTGCAGTCCATCCATAGCACGTCACAAGACAACGCGAAGCAAGCAAAGCAAGCACCAACATCTTACCCCACATGGATCGTCGAGCTTGGTTGCCCCGTTCCGTCTGCATGCCAATTCGAACTTCGGAGTTGTGCATCGATCGTTTTGCTGTATCGTGTGAAGGTGGTGCCGTCGTATTGCGCCACAAGAGGCACCCCAAGGCTCCAGCACGGGTGCATCATGCACTGCAATTTGGCTGATATAGACTGCTCTATCAGTAGCCCAAGGACTGCTTTCTGGGCGCTCAGCTTGTTGGTACCCATGAAAGAAGTCTCTATATGCATTGTTATCCTCAAGAACTTCGTGTCCCTGTGCGTGTCTTAGGAAGAGCATATAGCACGATGCTGGCTTTCACCATCGCATGCAACCGGGACGTCAAGACGCTCAGCTGTCAGCCGCTGGAGGCTGGCTGTCGGTGTTGTCCGATTGCAGGGGATTCAACTCCTCCTCCATCAAGCGGTATAGATGCGACAGGGACTTGGAAGGCTATACGGTAAATGCTTGCTGCAACTTGCAGCATCAGCCTTCTCTCGGCGGCAACCCTGGGTCCATCGCGGCCACTGCTTACAAGCTTGAGCCCAAGAGCTGACTCTGGAAACGCCTGAGGCCTTTGAAGAGACCGTTCTGGTTGCCTGTCACATGTTAGAGACTTCGCCCATCGCCAACATTGCGTCTTCTTCGTTCGGACATAGCCAGCACCCACAAGCCATCTTCAGCTCGATGATGCAAATCAGCCAATGGCCGTACACGTCGTCTGCTCGAACCTCACCGTCACGCCAGCTCAGCCTCAGCCGTATGTGTGCCTCTCCGCCTGCTGGTGCCTGCCTTGGCTGTGGACGTAGATCACTTTCCTGCGTGACTTTGTGAATTGACCTTTCTATATCTGTAGCACCTTCGCCTCTTTTCCCATCGTCTCATCATCTATCTGTCGTAACTCTCTCGTGATTCTAGGGTCTCTTTTGGTCGTACTCCAAGTATCTACCGCTCTCGTCATGGCTGCTTCTATTCCAAACGGGCGAGTCGATCTTCTGCTCGGCCAGATTCCCGAGAGTTCCGACGTGCCAATTCCCTACACAAGCACACCTGCAAAACTGTTTTGGTCTGACATCTTCCTCATATTTCGGTACTCCAAGGACATTTTCAGAATCGTGTCCCCACTCTGGCCTTTCAATTCTGGCGAGCTGGATGAACTCTACCCACTCTCCCGCGCAAATGTCCTCGACATTCTCTTGCATTCGATTCTTGTCCTGATTCAGCTTCCCTACGTTTTATCGCTACCTTTTTGGATCCCATGTTTGGTTCTATTTCCGCATGCTCTCTGGGCCTTCATCGTAGTCACTGCTATCATCTTTGGCATAACCAAGGTATTTTGCATGATACTTAATGGCAACGAGATAGTTCTACAGTCACAGGCCGAGATCAGGCGCAGTGAGAAGCATGACTCAGAGCATTGGATCTTCATCAACGGAGTCTCCGTAGGGCAAGTCTCACGCCTGGATTCAGATTCTGACACAATTCCCGTCCTATCAGAGAGATCTCACTAACACCGAACTTGCCAATAGAAAGCATTGGTTACAGGCAAACATCGATCGGCTATCACTGACTTTTGGCCGTCCTGTCACCGGTGTGCACAATCCCACGTAAGTCAAGTCCGGCATCGATTAGCCAGCTGCTACTAAGCCTCCACACAGAGGTGGCATCGTCTTCGACCTTGTTCAGTGTATCATTCAAAGAGATTACTGCTACGCAACCCAAGACATTCGAGATGCCTATGCCGAGATCAAGAAGTCTCTCATGAATCCTTACCATACGAAGGTCGTTCTTATTCTGCACAGTCAAGGAGGCATTGAAGGTGGCTTGATTATCGACTGGCTTCTAGCCGAAGCCCCCCAGGGCGCTCTCCGACGTCTCGAAGTCTACACCTTCGGCAATGCAGGTAACAGGCTCTTCAGGCTAGTCCATTTCAACAGCTGACGCCTACAGCTAACCATTTCAACTCACCCTCCACTAGCGTTCCCCAGCCCATCTTGGACCAAGCCAGCAGCGTTCAAACCACCAATGGAAGACTTATCACCTCATTGGGAGCGCCCAGAAGGCATGTACCAAGAGCCATCAGATACATCGAGCACTACGGCAACAGCCATGACTTTGTAGCCCGATGGGGTGTTCTGAACTTCGCGCGGGTGGCGAACAGGTACATGGGTCGCATTTTCGAACGTCCGGGCAACGGCCACCTACTCAATCAGCACTATCTGGACTACATGTTTCCTCTCGATCCGACACTCCGCAACGGCTACCGCGTTGCCCTCGACAGGAACGAGTTCATGGAGATGGACGTCGACATCTCAGCGCGGAACGACGCGAATTCCGCCACCAGAGAAGGTCCACGGGACGCTATGCGGAGCAGTGGTGGCCAGACAACAGATGATGTACGGTGCCAGGTGGAGCTTGATACTCCGATCACGCCGGGCGCGAAGTCCAGAGCACCGAAGGTGAAGGACTTCAGCCGGCTGTGGCTGTACCGAAACGGCCTGTCGCCGCCTCCTGAAGGCGAGGGCAGGGAATGAATCGCTAGATTCACTTTCCCCTCGAGCGAAAGGCATAGGATTACTGGGAGATCGAGAATCTTGGTGTTTTTCTAATGCTTTACTTTCAACTGTGGCGCTTCAAAATCGGATTTCTTGCAGAGGCCATTACCTATCAGTCCTTGTTGTGTATAAATCGAGCGTGCAGCACAAGTCATTTGGCTCGTCGGCGTCCAAAACATACTACTCTCCCATCGTTTTCAGCACGCCGCATCATTGAGCAATGCTCTATTTATTGCCTAGGTGTCGACTGTTTCAGCATCATCGCGTCTGCGCACAGTTTCTAGATCAAAGTGCCTGCACCCATAACGGTCCATCGATCAAACAGTTCATTCATCTGCTCTAGCGTGCAGTGTAGACGGGTCAACACCCACTCTTCAGTATGGGTTGAACTCGCTTAACTTCGTCTCAGGCAGCTGGCAAGATTCAGGATTCATCCTCCGTGTCGACACCCTCGTGAAACTCATATCCCCGAAGGAAGTTGATTTGGATCGCGGATCTGTGTACTGAAACCAAGGAACCTGAGCGCCAGGTCGCGCGTTGACTCGGAGAAGCACTGCACTGGGTGAGGCTTTGACCTTTTCTGGCCAGAGGTGTGGTGATCCGGGGTTCTTGGCATGGTGCAATAGGTAGGCAGCTTACCTCGTGAGCTTGTGTCGAGTGCCTGAAGAAGATCTTGTCGTCGAATCTGCAGATATTTCGGGTAGCTTTTGTTCGAATGCTGTCCTCCCCGTTCGTTCTATCTGCTCCGGTCCTTCGATGAGCTCGCGTTCGAGATCCTCCGGAAGACGTGCCGCCACTGCTTCTGCCTGCAATGTCAAGGACCCACGTTTGAGCTTTGGATTTGTGATGACAAAGCTGCGTCTGTTGCCGGATATTGTTTCAAGTCTACGAGCTCCTCCAAAGCGGCAGTACTGCTTGCGCTACTGAGTGTCGCAAGATGCACGGAAGGCGCTCCTCATCAGTAACACTACTTCGACCGCTTCTGCTCTCCATACTACTTGTGCTGTTCCTCCTATCGTCGCTACCACCTGCGGATGTCTTCGGTCATCGTGTGGTCGGTCATCCTAGCCAGTCGCCCCGTAAGGGCAAAGACGTTGAGTAGAAGGGAAGCAGTGAGTAGGAGTACACTTCTCTACATCAAAGTAGCGCCCTGCGCCCTGCTTCTCTTCTGTTCAATGTCTCTGCCTTCAACTTGGGATCTTTGTTTGGCAACTGTTCCATTAGACATTGGCTGGGGAGGTCCTCACAGAGTCTGAAGAGCAGCGTCGATGCGGATTGGCGCTCTTGCTTCTGCCCAGTTGGCGCTGCTGTCATCTCTGAGATAGCTGCAACAGCTTACAGCACCGCTTGTAGTCTGTCACACAGAAAACGCGACCCTCTCAAGAGCCCCCTCCCCCTTTACGGCAACCCCGCCTCACAATCTCGCCGTCTCCCCACCCTCAAGTACCCCCTCCATTCTCCGCCTCCACTCCTCCACCCTCACCTCGTCAATCGCATTCGCATCATACGACACGTTCACAAACACGTGTTCCGCGCTTCCGCCAATGCCAATCAAGAACTCATCGTCCCTGACTCTGACACCCATATCCAGGCTTCTGAAGTCCGCCGCAAACCTCTTCTCCACCGCTTCCTTCCCATCCAAGGAGTACGTGCCCTGCTTCAGCATCGCGTCCGTCCGCCCTACAGAGCTGACCCCACATGTGGCGCCGGAGAAGTTCACGTTAGCCGGGTACGCGCCTTGCGGGTTGACGCCCGTGCGCAGCTGCGGCGGCAGCTTGGCCTCCGCGCGCTCGACCGCTGCGATGTAGTTTGTTGCGATGACGCGGCCGGGGCTCCGCGCTCCCAGCTTCGCCTCGTCCTCCTTCCGCAACCGCTTTTGGTAGATGCGCAGCTGGCGGTGGGCGGAGCGGGCGAGTAGCCGGAAGCGGCCCTCGGGGTCAAGGTCGCTCGACAGGAAGGGCAGTACCAGCCCGTCGGAGAAGGCGAGCATCAGGCTGTCGGGCGCCGCGTGGTGATTGAAAAACTGCCGTGGGTTGAGCGGGAAGGACCCGATGAAGGGCTTGCGCGAGGCGGCGGGAGTGTAAGGGTGCCGCGCCTCTTCGAGTTCCATCATCACCATGCCGCAGAGCGCGAAGCAGCCGGAGCCGATGCTCACGCCGGCTTCGCGGCAGAGGCGGTGCAGGCGCGCTGTTGTGGAGGGCGAGAGGATGGATTGGCAGGCGAAGGAATTTAGAGGTGGCGTGCGGTTGTAGTTCAAGGTCTTGTCGTAGGTGGGGGACATTGGTGTCGCGTGCGGCCTGGGT